TGAAGTAAAATATTCCAACCCAGAAGCTATAAAGTAAAATATTGACAATATGACTATATTAAACATTTAAGGCTATACAGTAATTTACATATAAAATAAGTTAAAGGGCAAGTAATAGAATAGGAAAGTATTTGCAACACATCTAAAAAAGGGTTAATAATTTTTTTAGGACAAAAATTCTACAAAAATTTAATCAAAAAATAGATGAAGAATAGCAAAAAGTCATTTAAAGCTTTTTTAAAGAATAATGGAAAAAGGCAAGTCATATACTAAAACAGGTTTAGTTTCAACAAATAATAAATAATACATCATTGTCACAATCAGATTAATAAGTATTAAAAATATTGGTAACATCAAGTATTCTGACTGTGATAGGAACTGAGTACTCATACACTTTTTTTCTAAATCTTATTAAAACAGTCCCTTTAGCATATGTGGTAGTGCTGGTTTGGTGGAGGTGTTACCTACATGTTACTATCTCTTTCACCCCTTTGCTGCCTTTAGGATTCTGTTTGTCTTTGATATTTACCATTTTAATGATCATGTGTCTTGGAGTGGGCCTCATTGGGTTCCTCTTGAATGGGACCCTGTGTGCTTCCTGGACTTCTATGACTTCTCTCCTCCATTTAGGGAAGTTTTCCATCATTACTTTTCCAAACAGGTTCTCTATCCCTTGCTCCTCTTCTTCTCCTTCTGGTATCCCTATTATACGTGAATTGGTATGTTTCAGGTTGTCTTGCATTCCCCTCAGAGCCTCTTAATTCTTTTTGAGTCTTTTCTCCTTTTCTTGCTCTTTCTGGAAGTTTTTTTTATACCTTATCCTCCAGCTCTCTGATTCAATCCTCAGCTTCATCTAGCCTGCTTTTGATTCCTTCTACTGTGTTCTTCAATTCAGAAATTGTATTCTTCATTTCCTCCTGTGTCTTAGTGATAGCTTCTATGTCCTTTTTAATGCTGATATAGTTTGCAGTAAATCCCTTGTAATTTCCCTGTTGTTTTTGGTAATTCTTTCCGAGCTCACTGAGCTCATTGAGCTTCCTTAGAACCACTGTTTGGAACTCAATATCTGATCGTTTACTTGCCTCTATTTAATTTAGTTCTCTGTCTGGGAATTTTCCCTTTCCCTTTGACTGGGTCATGTTTCTTTGTATCCCCATTATTTGTGAGACTCTTTTTGTTTGCTTCTGCTTCTTAAGTTGATATGTCTTGATTTTCTAACTTTGTATTGTGAACTTCTATGGTAGGAGGTCATTGGTATTTCTTTCTGGATCTGCCTCTGATGATGTAAGATGTAGTCCCTGCCTGAATTCAGGCAGTCTGTTTAAAACTTCCAGGAATCTGCTGTCTGTGGCTGTTTCCTACAGCCTTTAATCTAGTCACTCTGCACTCAGCAGGCCATGTTAGACACCACAGGGTGGGGCAGAGTCCTTCCTGGGAGCGGGGTTATTGGGTCCTCTCAGGCTGCTGCCACTCCAGTGAGTGGTCTTCCTGAGCCAGATGGCTGCTGCTATATGGGGGAGAAGTCACAACCAGGATCCCGCCAGGTACTCTTTCTGTTCTCTCCCCAAAGCCTCCTTCCCCAGTGTCTCCTCAGGGTCTCTAGCCCACTTTGCACCTGCATTTGCCAGAGACCAAGGTAAGTGGCTGCAAATAAAATTTCAGGTATTGGCCCTTTAAATGGCTCTTTGTGCCTCCAGCTGTCCATCTCTAGCAGAGCGCAACCCTGCCAGTTTTCGCAGCTGGCTGTTATCTGTGTACTTTTTAGGCTCTAGTGCTGGAAGTTGAAGATCCCCAATTATGGTTTAGACTCTGCCCTTCTTAGGGGGATCCAATGGGCCTTTTCAATATCCCTCTTGTGCTGCTCCCCGTGGGTACCCTGCCTGCCTTCTTGTGTGTCTCTACTGCCCTCCTTACCAGTTAGGTTGTGCTAAAGCTGATTCTCTGTCTGTCTGAGGTTATAAGGCTCCTCTCTCACTACTGTTCAGTTGTTCGTTCTGGGTGATTTCTCCACAGTTTAGTTGTAATTCCAGATTGGTCCTGGGAAGATGTCGTTGTGACTTCCACTCACTCCTCTACCATCTTGATTCTTTTATTCTTAATTTCCTTAACATAATAGTTTGTTCAAATAATAATAGCAACAATGTATTTGATTATGTATGCTTATGTTCTAGTGAAATGAATGACAGTGATGACACAGAGACAAGATTAATTAGAAATATTTTGTTATTTATAAGGTACTTTTACTACAAATGAAGTGATAAAGTATTTTTTGAATTGGATTTGAATTTATTGTAAATGTACATTGCAAAATTAGAGTTACTAATAAAAATGTTTAAGAAGTATGATTGATATATTTAAAAATAAGAGAAAAGGAATTATATAAATTTTGTAATTAATACTATAAGAGACAGAAAAAGTGTGAAAAACAAAACAGGAAAAATATCAATGTCAACAAATCAAAAACATTAACAAATATGGTAGATCTTAGTCAAAATTATCATTGATCACCTTAAACATGAGTGGTTTAAATACACCAACTAAAAATAGTGATTGTCACAATGGTTCAAAAAGAAGATCCAATTATATGTTCCATATAAGAAGCCTACTTTAACCATGAGGACACATATGGAGTAAGATATACCATGTTGACAAAAAATTGAGTGAAAGTTATGTATCTATGTTAATAATATACAGAATGGATTGAGAGCGAAGAAAGTCATCAGGGGTATAAGAAGAACTTTAATTAATTGTAAAAGAGTCAATATTTCAAGAACACATAATTCTCAATGTATGCACCTAATAATGGAATAGTACAAAGAGAAATAGACGAATACACTATTTTAGTTGGAAACTTTCACATTCTTTTTTTCTTCTGGTAAAAAACAGAAACTTATTATTACATCTTTCTCAGGTAATGAGAGGCAATACTATTTTTTTGTTAACGTAACATTTATTTTTTACATTAATTTTTTTATTATTCCAATACATTTTTCTCCATTTACCCACAACCACTATCCCCTGCTGCACCCCCCAACCCCAATCAATCCTTCCCCGCTTTGGCTTCATCCATGTGTCCTTCACACCTGTTCCTTGATCTGACCCTTCCCCTTCCCCTCTCTACTACACCCTTCCCTCTCACCTCTCTGTCAGCTTTGTTTTTTCTTTCTTCCAATGCTGCTAGTCATATTTTCCTTGCCTGCTTGCTTGGCTGGTTATGTTCCACTATTAGGTGAGATCATATGGTATTTGTCTTTCATGACCTGCCTTATTTCACTTAACATAATGCTCCAATTCCACCCATGCTCTCAAGAAGCGTAGCAGCTCTTTCTTTATTTCTGCTGTGTAGTATTCCATTGCTTAAAGGTACCGTTGTATTTTTTCCCACTCATTTGCTGATGAGCACTTAGGTTGCTTCCAACACTTGGCTATTGTACATTGTGCTGCTATGAACATTGGGGTGCATAGGTTCTTTTGAATTGGTGTTTTGGGATTCTTAGAGTATAATCCATGCAGTGGAATCTCTGAGTCAAAAAGCAGTTCCATTGTTAGCTTTTTGAGGAAATTCCACACTGTTTTCCACACTGCCTGCACCAGTCTGCATTCCCACCAACAGTGTACTAAGGTTCCCGTTTCTCCACAGCCTCACCAGCACCTGTTGTTTGTTGATCTGTTTATGATGGCCATTCTGACCGGTGTGAAGTGATATCTCATTGTGGTTTTAATTTGCATTTCTCTGATTGCTAGTGATGATGAACATTCTTTCATATGTCTCTGGGGCTGTGTAAGTCTTCCTTGGAGAAATGTCTGTTCAGGTCCTTTGCCCATTTTTTAATTGGATTGTTTGTCTTCCTGGAGTGGAGCCATGTGAGTTCTTTACATATTTTGGAGATAAAACCCCTGTCTGAGGTATCATTGTTGAATATATTTTTGCATAGATTTGGCTCCCTTTTCATGTTGCTGATGTATTCTTTAGCCATGCAGAAGCTTTTGATTTTGATGAAGTCCCATTTCTTTGTTCTTTCCTTTATGTCCCTTGCTCAAGAGGACATATAGGTGAAAATATGCTGCAGAAGTTATCTGGGAGTTTCCTGCCAAAGTTATCCTCTAGGACTTTTATTGTGTTGTGACTTACACTGAAGTCTTTTATCCATCTTGAGTTTATTTTTGTATATGGTGTAGGTTGGTGGTCGAATTTCAATTTTTTACATATAGTTGTCCAGCTCTCCTAACACCATTTGTTGAAGAGGCCTTATTTACTCCATTTTATGCTTCTGCATGCTTTGTTGAATATTAATTGACCACAGAGACATGGGTTTATTTCTGGGCTCTCAATTCTGTTCCATTGATCTATGAGCCTGTTGTGATACCAGTACCAGACTGTTTTGATTACAGTGGCCTTGCAATATAGTTTGATATCAGGTATTGTGATCTCTCCTACTTTGTTTTTCTTTTTCAAAATTGCTGTGGTTATTTGGAGTCACTTATGATTCCATATAAATTTTTGAAATGTTTGTTTTATGTCTGTGAAATACATCATTGGTATTTTAATATGGATTGCATTCAATCTATAAATTGCTGAGTGTAGTATGGACTTTTTTTCAGGTCTTTAAACTTTTTATTTGCTTATTTAAAAATTGTGCATTCCAATAATTAATATCTTTTTAAGAACAACAAAAAAATGGAACTCTGATTAAATTGCATTTTAAAGCCTGCAGGACACCCTGGACCAGCTTGGTTTTTACTCTAGATTTCACTGTTGTCCCACCCAGCTTCTTCCTTCACAAACATGCAAGTTGTTTTCCTTCCCTGACAGCCAGAGAGGCAGATGGGAGAGGCAGGTACAGCCTTCATTGTAAGTAGTTCTGATGGGAAAAGGGGTAGCACAGTCATTTAAACTGATCCAACTTCTTTGCATCTTACAAAGTTAAACAGCTAAGAGAAGTAAAATAAGAAAGCAATGATTGTGGAATGTACAGTGCATGTTGGTGGTGCAAGCCTCATTACAATTCGCCTGTTTGTTTCTCCTGTTCAATCGTTTCTTTGGAAGGTAGTGGATTTTTCTCTTGTGTTTCTGTCTTCAATTTCGACTTACCAAATTTTTCGATCTTGGCCATATTGGGTTTATCAGACATGGTTGGTGAGGAAGCAGAGACAGGGGCATGAAGGAGAGAAGTCCAATCTGCTCAGTGACCACCGCTGATAGTATGAACATTTTGATGATGTTAATTCTTCCAATCCATGAACACAGTATATGCTCCCATTTATTTGTGTCTTCCTTAATTTCTTTCTTTAGTGTTGTATAGTTTTCTGCATTCAGGTCTTTTACCTCCTTGATTAAGTTTATTCCTAGGTACTTTTTTTTTCTTGATACAGCAAAGAGGATATTTTTTCCTGATTTCTGCTTCTGATATTCCATTTTTGGTGTACAAAAATGCCTTTAATTTCTGAAATTGACTTTGTGCCCTGTTGTTTTGCCAAATTCACTTACTAGAATGAATAGTTTTTTGGTGGAGTCCATGGATTCATCTATGTACACTATCATGCCATCTCCAAACAATGATAGTTTTACTTCCTCCTTTCCTATTTGGAAGTCTTTTATTTCTTTTTCTTTTTTGTCTGATTGCTCTGGCTAGAACTTCCAATACAATGTTGAATAGAAGTGGTGAAATTGGAGATCCTTGTCTTGTTCCCTATCTTAGTGGGAAAACTTTTAGTTTTTGCTCATTGAGTATGAGGTTGGCTGTAGGTTTTTCATATACGGCCTTTATTATGTTGAGGTATGCTCCCTTTATTCCCACTCTGTTGAGTGTTTTTACCATAAACGTGTGCTACACCTTATCAAATGCTTTTTTCACATCTATTAATAAGATCTTATGGTTTTTGTCTTTCCTTTTGTTTATTGATTTGTGAATATTGAACCATCATTGAGTCTCTGGGTTGAATCCCACTTGGTCCTGGTGGATGATCTTTTTACTGTATTGCTGGATGAGGTTTGCCAATATTGTGTTGAGAATTTTAGCATCTATATCCATAAGCGATACTGGCCTATAGTTTTCTTTCTTGGTGTGTCTTTATCTGGTTTTGGGATGAGGGTGATGTTGGCCTCATAAAAAGAGTTTGGGAGTCTTCCTACTTCTTCGAGTTTTTGGAATAGTCTAAGAAGGACAGGGATTAGCTCTTCCTTAAGTGTTTTGTAAAATTCTCCTGAGAAACCGTCTGGCCCTGGGCTTTTGTGTACTGGGAGTTTCTTGATTACTGCTTCAATTTTCCCAGCTGTTATCGGTCTGTTCAAGCTTTCTGTTTCTTCCTCCTTCAGTAATGGAAGATTATACTTTTCTAGAAATTTGTCCATTTCATTGAGGTTTTCAAACTTCTCAGCATATAATTGCTCAGAGTAATTTCTTACAATCCTTTGTATTTCTGTGGTATCAGGTGTTACTTCTCCTCTTTCATTTCTGGTGTTATTTATTTGTATCTCCTTCCTTTTTTCTTGATGAGTCTGTTTAAATGCTCATCAATTTTCTTTATCTCTCAAACAACCAGCACCTGGGTTGGTTGATCATTTGAATTGTCTCTATGTCATTCAACTCTGCTCTGATCATGATTATTTCCTTTCTTCAACTCACTTGGAGTTTTGTTTGTTGTTGTTTTTCCAGTTCATGAAGTGTTAGGTTGTTTATTTGAAATGTTTCTATCTTTTTTAGGTAGGCCTGTATTGCTATGAACTTCCCTCTCAGTAGTTTTTGGTCATTCTCTGTGAGCTCACTGAATTTATTGAGCTTCAGTAGAACTGTTGTTTTGAACTCAATATCTGATAGTTTACTTGCCTCTATTTCTTTTATTTCTCTTTATGGGGATTCCCCTTTCCCTTTGATTGGGGTGTGTTTCTTTTTCTTCCCATTATTTATGAGATTTTTCTTTTTTGCTTCTGCTTCTTAAATTGATCTGTCTTGGCTTCTTGACTTTGTGGTGAGAACTCCTATGGTAGGAGACTTTTTTTTTTTCCTTTCTGGATCTGCCTCTGACAATGTCAACTGTCGACTCTGTCTGACCTTAGGCAGTCTTTAATAGACTTTCAGGAATCTGCTGTCTGTGTCTGTCTCATCCAGTTTTTAATCTCATCTCTCTGCCGTAATAGTCAGGGCTGGGCAGATTCCTTCCTGTGGTTGGGGCTATTGTGTCTGTTCACACTGCTCCCACTCAGGGGAGTAGTCTGCCTGATCATGGTGGCTACTGTCATATCAGGGAGGAGTCAGCACCTGGATCCCCTTGGCTACTCTCTCAATTCTTTTCCCATTGCCTCCATCTCCACACTTTCCTCAAGTGTCTTCAGACCACTCTGTGTCCCCCTTAAAAAAGGATCTTCTATCTGTAACTGCTGCTCTGTACTCAGCACCCAGGCCTGTGCAATGCCTGGCCAGGGCTGAACCTCCTGGCATTGGGGCTAATGTGTCTTTTTACGCCACTGCCACTCATGGGAGTGGTCTGCCCAAGCAAGATGGCTGCTGCGGAATAGGGGAATGAATCAGCACCAGGAGCCTCCTGGGGGCAGGGTTATTGTATCCCTTCATGCTACTGCTGCTTGTGGGAGTAGTCTGCCTGAGCAAGCTGGCTGCTGCCATGTGGAGGAGGAGCCAGCACCAGGATATCCCCAGCTATTCCCTCAGTTCTCTACCCAACGCCTCTGTTGCCAGACTATCCTCAAGCATCTCTAGACAATTCTGCCTCCGCTTTAACCAGAGATGTACTATCTGTAAGTGACTGCCACTCTGTACTGAGCACCTGGGACTGCACAACATTTGGCTGGGGCCAAGCCTCCTGGGAGTGTGGCTTTGAGTCCTTTCATGCTGTTGATGCTTGGGAGAATGGTCTGTCTGAGCAAGATGGCCACTGCAGAATGGAGGTTCAGTCATCACTGGGACCCCGCTGTCCACTTTCTCACTCTTCTCCCTAAAGCCTCCTTTCCCAGTCTGTCCTCAGATGGCTCCAGCCCACTCTGCTCCCTCCTCCTCCAGAGCCTAGCGTAAGTGGCTGCCACTTCAATTTTTTGTGGTGGTCCTTTAAATGGCTCCTTTTGTTTCCAGCTGCCCATCTCTGGCAGAGAGCACCCTGACGCTTTTCACAGCTCGCTGTTTGTGTGCTTCCTGGGCTCTGACACTATAGGCTGGAGATCCCATCCTATGGTTTTGACCGTGCTCTTAGGGTTGTCCAACTGTCCATTTCAATATCCCTCTGGCACTGCCACCCGTGGGTTCTCATTCCACCTTCTCGAGCCTCCACCACATTCCTTACCAGTTAGGTTGTGTTAAAGTTGATTCCTCTGTCTGTCCAAGGTTTTCATGCCTCTCTCTTGCTATTGTTCAGTTGTTTTCCAGGTGACTCCTCCACATTTTAGTTGTAATTCCCAATTGGTCCTGGGAGGAGGTCAGTGTGACTTCCCCTAACTCCTTGGCCATCTTGAATGCCCCCAGAAACTTTCAAATTCTTTAACAGAAATGTAGAGATCCACCAGGCAGAAAATCAGTAAGGAAATATCTTAAATCAAAAGCAACATCAATCAACTAAATGTAATTGATATCTATAGACTATTATTTTAACTATAGAAGAATAAACATTCTTTAAATCTTCCATGGAACAGGAATCAAGATAGACCACATTCTGTCCCATAAAACACACCTTAACAAAATTAAAGAATGGAAATCATATGATATCTGCTTTCAGACCTCAGTGAAATGAAACTAGAAATCAATAAGAGCAAGATAGCTGGGAAATGTTAAAACATGAATAGAGGACTCATGAGCATAGACAGTGGGTATGGATTGGCTGTGGGAGCAAGAGACAGTATGGTAAGGGGCAGGTCAGGGGAGAGCAATGAGAAAAAGGTGGAATAACTGTAATTGAAAAACAATTTTAAAAACCATTTTAACATTAAACAATATTCTTCAAAATAACACATGGGTCAAAAAAATTACAAGGGAAATTTTAAAATATTTTAACCAAAGGAAAAAAAATACAACGCAACAAAATTAGTAGGATACAGTGAAAACAGTGCTTAGAGGGAAGTGGATAGTGCTGAATTGTTATATCAGATAGTAAAACACATTTTAACACAAATTTCCAATTTAGTAAACTAGAACAAAGAATAGCAAATTAAATGCAAAGTAAGCAAAAGAAAACATATATTAAAAATCAGAACAGAACTCAGTGAAATCTAAAACAAATCAATAGAGAAAGTAAGATAAGACAAAAGCTGGTTCCTGTAAAAGAACAATGAAATTGATAAACCTCTAGCTAAGAAACAAAAGCGGACGTATATGGCTAATACCAAATATAAAAGAGAGGACATTGTTATACATCCCATGGATGTTAAAAGGCTAAAAGCAAAATATTATGGACAACTCTATGTCTACCAATTTGATAACCAAAAGAAATGGACCAGTTTCTTTCCTTCTTTCTTTTTCTTTTTTATTTTTTTAGCTCTGGACATATTTTCCAAGTATGTATGTCTGTATGTATTTATTATTGTTATTCATTTATGGCTGTCCCAATTTTCCCCTTTTCTCTCACCTGCCCTGCCTACCACCTGCTCCCTGAGTCAGTCCCAACCTGTTGTCCATTACAATAAGTACTTTATACATGGTCCTTGGCTAGACCCTTCTTCTTCCTCCCCCCATTATCCCTCTCTCTCTTCCCTTCTGGTCACTATCAGATTGTTCCTTATTTTTATGTCTCTGGTTCTATTTTGCTCACTTGTTTGCTTTGTTTGTTAAGTCCCACTTACTAGTGAGATCATATGGTATTTGTCTTTTACCACATGGCTTATTTCACTTAGCATAAGGCTCTCCAGTTCCATCCACATTGTAAGGAAGGGTAAGAGTTCCTTCTTTCTTTCTTCTGGGTAGTATTCCATTGTGTAAGTGTACCACAATTTTTTGATCTGTTCATTTACTGATGGGCACTTAAGCTGTTTCCAGAACTTGGTAATTGTAAATAATGCTGCGATGAACATTGGGGTGCATAGGTTCTTTTGAATTGGTGTTTCAGGATTCTTACAGTATACTCTCAGCAGCAGAATTGCCAGGTCAAAAGGCCATTCCATTTTTAGTGTTTTGAAGCAATTCCAAACTGTTTT